AGAAACGGGCATTACTCGGACAATGTTTTCAATCGCAGACCTGACTGATCAAGATTCAAGCACACCTTCAATTCAAAATTCGAATAAACGACAATAGACGAAAGTGATCTTTACGGTGACGTGAGAAAACGGAAGTACGGCAAATTTCGTAAAATCTCTTCTCTCGAACTTTGCAGCTTGATCAAAATTACGGCGGCGTCAATTCCTCCCCCCCGCGATTTATTCGAAAGAATACACTTCTTAAATTTTACGAGAGACAGAATTCTAATCTGCCCGAAGGATATCTTTCAAGTTTTATAAAAACGCGCGCTGAAGAAAATGATCTTGCAACTGCAGCAACAATTTTCTAGGCACGAAAACATAACTGACAATGAGATACATATATGAACAGACAGTACTGCGAAATCGTACATGTTTTGTACAGGGTTGGAAAGTAACTCGTTACTTGTAACAAAGTTACAATTGCAGTTACGTTTTTTTCGGTAACTCGAAATTAACTTCGTTACTTTTTCTCCGTCTGTAACTGTAACTTAACTCAGTTACATTTTTTCAGTAACTAGTAACTAATTTAATAGTTACGTAAGTAGTTACTTTATACGAGGTGAGTAATAAGTACCGGACCAGTGAAATATCTCGACAAATATGGGAGATACGGAAAAATGTTTCAGACGAAAGTTGTACGGTTTTAAAAGGGCTATATATTGGTAAAATAAATTTCGACAAAAATAAATTTTTTATGGTTATATGGAGGTCGCCGTCATTTTTTAAAATGGAACTCCCTATTGTTTATTATACTGTCTTATTTTACTAATTAATATGAACAACTTTTGTCTGAAACATTTTTTGCCTAATGCTTTTTGAGATATTCAAGAGAAAATTTATAACTTTTTCAATATTTAGTTTATAATATCTCGATAACTGTTTGTCGGAGGAAAAAGTAATACGGGACTTTTTTTACTTGATTTAGTCTCAGGAATATGCTGTTGCAGTGGTGTTGCAATTATTAAAAATTTTATGTTACAATACACAAAAATTTTCAATAATTGAAACACCATTGCAACAGCATATTCCTGAGTGGTGTTTCAATTATTGAAAATTTTATGTTACAATACACAAAAATTTTCAATCATTGAAACACCATTGCAACAGCATATTCCTGAGACTAAATCAAGTAAAAAATGTCCTGTACTACTTTTCCCTCCGACAAACAGTTATCGAGATATTATAAACTAAACATTGAAAGAGTCATAAATTTTCTCTTGAAATCTCAAAAAGTATTAGGCAAATCAAAAGATGTTTCAGACAAAAGTTGTTCATATTAATTAGTAGAATAAGACAGTATAATAAACAATAGGGAGTTCCATTTAAAAAAATGACGGCGACCTCCATATAACTATAAAAAATTTATTTTTTTTCGAAATTTATTTTACTATTATATAGCTCTTTTAAAATCGTACAACTTTTGTCTGAAACATTTTTCCGTATCTCCCATATTTGTCGAGATATATCACTGGTTCGGTATTTTTTATTCACCGTGTATATATTTTAAACCGCCTCAGATTGCATCGGGCCTTGCGTTTGCGCATAAACGTCTTTATCAACGCTTTACAATTTAAATGCAGATTTGATATTTTTATTTTCATTGCAAGAAAGTAACTTGTAACGCGTTACTTTTCAGAATTGAAGACTTGTAACTGTAACTAGTTACATTTTAGCGAAAAACTATAACTGTAACTAAATACTTTTATAAAGTAACTTTTTCAACCCTGATTTTGTATTTAATCAATTTAAATACCAGAAACAGAATTTCTATCTGAACTGTTACACAGAAAAGAAATAAGATTAACTCTTATATACTCAAATTAATGCGTCCATTTTTTATACAACGTATACGCAACAATCTATAATCTTCTTAAAAGCATTTAATAATCTTACATTCTCCAACAATATTACAGTCTTATTTAAATGCTATAATAGTCACTTCAAGAATACGTATAATTATTTTACAATAAAATTATTTCCATACAATAAAATTATTTTAATTGCTATAATCTTCGATTTGAGAATATGTTATTTTCTATCCAATATATAAATTGTTTCCTTTCCATTAAAAAAAAAATTCTTAAATAATAAGCATGCACTTTTCTTGATTGAGTTATATAAAATTACAAGTAAACAAAAGAGGCCAACTTTTACGAGCATGAAAGTTGACAAGTGATATATATTTTTAAAAGATTTAATGATGTTACAATTGAAATATAAGATAGCGGACGCGTTTCGGCACACAGTACTTTCATCAGCGCAAAATTAAAATTAAATAGTTAATTCGTCTAGTACATAATTGTCAATAAACAATACAACGTAGATCAGTTGAAAAAGACAGGATTGGTCAAATGTTAAAAACGTTGCTGAGACAAATGGGTTGAACGGTTGTGGCCAATGGCTGCGTTCAGCCGAAAAAGTTGCTTTGCAACTGTTGTAAAATTCGTAAATCTGACTGGTGTATTCTCTTAATCTTGAGTGAATTTAAGAGCATGCGCCAATCAAATTCATGAATTTTACAACAGTTGCAAAGCAGCTTTTTCTGCTGAACGTAGCCATTGCTTTATGGAGACAACTCCAAGTTCTATATCAGGTTGGATGGCCTATATAAAACTTCCTATAGTTGATTTAATTTGGATCCGATTTATCTAATAAACGTTTTTCGTTATGATAATTCGTTAGCCGTTATTAATGAGATATGTAGTTTGAAATACCTACCTTAATTTTCCTTTTTTACCAATTCCGTTTTTAAATGTCAGTTGGTTTAATCGCTCCTACTCCTTAATCCTGTCTTTTTCATTTGATCTACATTGTATTAATTATTAACAATTATGTACTAGACGAATTAGCTATTTAATTTTAATTTTGCGCTGATAAAAGCACTGTGTATCGAAACGCGCCCGCTATCTTATATTTTCATTGTAACATCTTTGAATCTTTTAAAAATATGTATTACATTGTCAACTTTCATGCTCGTAAAAATTGGCCTCTTTTGTTTACTTGTTTTAAATATAACACGAGCGGAATTATTATTTGTTATATAAAATCACTTCATTCAAGTAAGTTTTTCTTCCTTTAACGCAATATAATCTCATTTCAAGATTTTCACGTTAAAACTAAACATATTTTCAAACGAAGAATATTCTCTTTTTTTTTCTGTGCAAGAAACTCAAACTTTCTAGAAGGTATCGCCAGAATGTTGTTGCTGCAATAAATTTCGCATACTACGAGCAATTTTCTAACAGATCCAAGAAATAGCGATAAATTTTTGCCGTAACACTTATGGCGAATTCGATTGCTCGCACTAGTGCGCACTGAGTGCACACCAAGGTTCGGTTACAGTCAATTCTGATATTTCAGAATCGTCTTAAATATCTCTTGCAATATTTCGTAGCCAGTAAAGTGATCTGTATAGTAGCATTTACGCGGATCACTTTCTGGCGAAATACTCGTCGAGCATGTATTTAAGACCAAGTTAAATATAAAAACGCCGACTACAACCGGGCCCTATGTGCGCACTCGGCGCGCACTAGTGCGAGCAATCGAATTCTCCATTAGAAATCTACCTGCGTTAACAAGATATTTTTTGACGTGCGCGATAAGCGATTTCCCGTTTAAAATGAAAAATACAGTAACGATTCTTGCTCCGATTGATATCGTTTCCAGAACGAGTTTTCCGCAACCCCGTGTGTCCCCGATCTGCCCCCTTTCGTCCCCCTCCCTACGCGCTCTTGTCGGCAGTTGCGGGAAAGTGGCGCCCCCTAGAATCGTCGGGGGCGGGGGAAACTGGGGACGGCAACGGTCGGGAATGCCGATGATGCGCGCTCAGGCGCTCGCGGGGTTCAGTGCTGGTGCTCGATGCGAGGCGAGTGCGCGCGACGGTGCAGCACGAGTGCTCGGGCGCTCGTACGGGCCTGTTTTCGTTGATAATCGAGGAGCGTTCCGGCACACCGTCGTGCACAATCGTGATACGATATCCGGGGGGTTGACTTTGACACGCGCGGTGAAACAACGAGGACTCACTCCCGGTGTCCCGCGGGGTCGGCGGACGCCCCGGACGTAAGGATTGTAAAAAGGAGTAGTAGTATCTTTATTTGTGCGACCCCCTCCCGCCCCCGTGCGTGCGCGCGCGCGCGCGCGAAAGGGAGAAGAGGAGCAGGAGCATCTTTATTCGCGAGGCCGCGGGACGACGGGCCCCGATCTAGACGGGGGAGGTGACGAGGGAAGCTCGCGGAAGCGCGGGTGAACGGTGCGGCGTTTCGGGGTGGCAGCCAGCGGGGTGGCTCGCGGCGCGGTGGCCAGCCCGCGGATAAAGGGCGAGGGAAATGGGCCGCTCCGCGTTTGATACGTGATACGAGGTGCGTGAGCGTGCGCGCGCGCGCGCTCCCTCCCTCCCTCACCCCCCTCGGTGGAGCAGAGAGCCCGGCGCGTGTGTGTATGTGGCGTGCGTGCGTGTGTCGTCGTCGTCGGCCTCCTCGTCCTCCCCGTTGCCGTCGTCGTCGCCGTCGCGCCGCCGAGCCGCGAGTCAGTGTGCCGCCCGAATACGCGTGTGCGTCGCGTGAATGAAAAAGGAAGAAGGGGGAGGGCCGCCCGTTACCCCAAGATTGCCGAAGCGAGCGTCGTCGTGGTGATCGCCGTCGCCGTTGCCGTCGCCGTCGCCGTCGCCGACGCCGCCGTCGCCCCGACGCGCGACTCGACGTTGACGTCGAGAGCAAACGGGGTGGTGGGCTGCCGCGCTCGGTAAAAGTGCGGCGCGACATGACGACGGTGAGGGGTGGTGTCGTCGTCGTCGCGACAACGACGACAACGACGACAACGGCGGCGGCGGCGAGGACGGCGGTGTCATCGAGCACGTTGTCACCGATGTCGACGTCGGTGGCGACGGTGACAACGGCGAGCGCCGCGGCCACCCCGTTCCGTCGGCCGCTCGCGGCGACGCTGTTGCTCATGTGGTTGCTGATGTCGACGCACCCTGGCCCGGCCGCGGCCGCCTGCCGGTGGAGCAGCGAGGCTGGCAACGACACCCGTTCGGCGGACTGCGCCCTCCGCGTCCTGGATCCCACGGCGATCGTCACCCTGGCGCCGTCCCTCGACGGCGCGCTCAAGCTGCGGATCCGCTGCAGCGACGTCCACCACTTCGAGAGCAGCTTCAACGCGCAGAGCTGGCAGCGGCTGACCGGCCTGCACGAGCTGCACGTGCACGGCTGCAAGGTGCTGCGCGTCCCGGAGGACGCGTTCCAGCCGCTGCCGGACCTCAAGCGGCTCGTCGTGCAGACGTTCAACGCCGTCTGGGGTGCCGCGAGGTATCTGGAATTCGCGCCGAGCTCGCTCCGGGGCCTACGCGAGCTCCACACGCTGGAGATCGTCGAGAGCAACGTGCTGGAGCTGCCGCCCCGACTGCTCTGCGAGCTGGACAATCTGCAGACCCTCAATCTCACCGGCAATCGTATCCGCGACGTCGACAACGTCGGGCTGACGGTGCGCGCCGACGTCAACGGCGCGGCCTGCCGCGCGGACATACGAATTCTCGATCTGTCGCGCAACGAGATACGGCAATTGCTCGACGACGGGCCGCTGGTGGGCTTGCGGCAGCTGCAGGAGCTGCACCTGCAGCGCAACGCGATCACCGAGATCGGCAGGAACGCCCTGCACGGGCTCACCGTGCTGCGTACGTTCAACGCCAGCCACAACGCCCTGGACTCGCTGCCCGAGGACCTGTTCAAGACGACGCGCGACTTACGGGAGATACACCTGGCGTACAACGGCCTACGCGATCTGCCGCGGGGCGTCTTCACCCAGCTGGAGCAGCTGCTGGTGCTGAATCTCGCCAACAACCGCCTCGGCAGCGATCACGTTGACGAGACCACTTTCCTCGGTCTGATCCGCCTGATCGTGCTCGACCTCTCGTACAACCAGCTGACGCACATCGACGCGCGTATGTTCAAGGATCTGTTCTTCCTGCAGATCCTCGACCTGCGCAACAACTCGATCGACCGTATCGAGAGCAACGCCTTCCTGCCGCTCTACAATCTCCACACGCTCGAGCTCTCCGACAACAAGCTCCACACTATAGGCGCGCAGCTCTTCAACGGTCTGTTCGTGTTGAATCGCCTGACCATGTCCGGCAACTCGATCTCGAGCATCGACGCGATGGCGTTTCGCAACTGTTCCGACCTCAAGGAGCTCGATCTCAGCGGCAACGAGCTCACCGCCGTGCCGGACGCGTTGCGCGACCTCGCCTTCCTCAAGACCCTCGACCTGGGCGAGAACCGTATCAGCGAGTTCCACAACGGCTCCTTCCGTAACCTTCATCAGCTCACCGGTCTGCGTCTGATCGGCAACGACGTCGGCAATCTGACGCACGGTATGCTCTGGGACCTGCCGAATCTGCAGATACTCAACCTGGCACGGAATAAGGTGCAACACGTGGAGAGGCACGCGTTCGAACGTAACGTGAAATTGGAGGCCATCCGCCTGGACGGCAACTTCCTGTCGGACATCAACGGCGTGTTCACCAGCATCACCAGCCTGCTGCTGCTCAATCTATCGGAGAATCACATAGAGTGGTTCGATTACGCCTTCATACCTGTCAATCTCAAATGGCTCGACATCCACGGCAACTACATCGAGAGTCTCGGCAACTACTACAAGATTCGCGACTCCAAGGTGAAGACTCTGGACGCAAGTCACAATCGCATCACCGAGCTCTCGCCGTTGTCCGTGCCGGACAGCGTGGAGCTGTTGTTTATCAACAACAACTACATCAGCACCGTGCGATCGAACACGTTCGCCGACAAAGTCAATCTCACCCGGGTGGACATGTACGCGAACATGATCGAGACGATGGAACTGACGTCGCTGCTGCTGACCAAGGTGCCGGAGAACAAGCCGCTGCCGGAGTTCTACATCGGCGGTAACCCCTTCAACTGCAACTGCTCGATGGACTGGCTGCCGGCCATTAATAATCAAACGTCAACGAGGGAGTATCCGCGCGTCATGGACCTCGACAACGCCATGTGCCGTACCTCCGGGCCGCGGGGAGTCGCCATCGTCCCGGCGTCGAGCGCGCGCTCGGAGCAATTCCTCTGCCGCTACGAGGCGCATTGTTTCGCCCTCTGCCACTGCTGCGACTTCGACGCCTGCGACTGCGAGATGACCTGCCCGGCCGGCTGCAAGTGTTACAACGACCGCACGTGGAACACGAACGCGGTCGATTGCTCGGGTCTCGGGGTCGAGGAGATACCGCGTAGGATACCGATGGACGCCACCGAGGTCTACCTGGACGGCAACGTGTTGCGAGAGTTGCAGAACCACGTGTTTATCGGCCGCAAGAACATGCGCGTGCTGTACGTCAACGCAAGCGGCATCGAGTCCATCCAGAATCGGACTTTCAACGGCCTCAACAACCTGCAGATTCTACATCTCGAGGACAATCGGATACGCGAGCTCAAGGGCTTCGAGTTCGAGCGGCTGTCGCACCTGCGCGAGCTCTACCTGCAGAACAACGTCATCGGCTTCATCGGTAACCTGACGTTTCTGCCGCTGCGATCGCTCGAGATCCTCAGGCTGCACGGCAATCGGCTGGTAACCTTCCCGGTCTGGCAGGTCACCTTGAACGCACGATTGGTCGAGCTGTCGCTCGGCGGCAATCCATGGTCGTGCCGCTGCAAGTTCTTGCAGGAACTGTCTTCTTGGGTGTCGGACAACGCGCACAAGGTGATCGACGCCGGCGACGTGTGGTGTTACTACGGCGGCGACGCCAGGCCTTCTTACCGGCGTCGTCTGAACGTCAACGAGACCGCCTGCTCGGACTACTTCTCGCAAGGCGGTGTCATCGAGAGCATCATGGTGTCGGACTACCTGCCGTTGGTGGCCGCCACTCTCTCGGCCATTATCGTTCTCCTGGTGATCATAGTACTCGCCTTCGTGTTCCGCGAGCCGGTCGGCGCCTGGGCTTACTCCAAGTACGGATTGCGATTCTTGCGGACGAAGTCGGGCAAGGCCGCGACGACGGCGAGCATGGGCCCCGCGGCCGCGATGGCCGTGGGCTGCTGCGACGCCGATCGCGATCGTCTCTACGATTGTTACGTGTGCTACAGTCCGAACGACGAGGACTTTGTTCTGCACTCGCTGGCGGTCGAGCTGGAGCACGGCGCGGCCGGCTTAAGACTCTGCCTCCATCATCGGGACTTGCCCTGCGTGCTGCGCGCCTCCGCGCCCGCGCCGGCCGTCCTCGAGGCGGTGGATGCCTCCCGACGCGTGTTGATCGTGCTCACCCGCGATTTCCTTCAGACCGAGTGGTCGCGCTTCGAGTTCCGCGCAGCGCTGCACGAGGCACTGCGCGGCCGTGCCTCCCAGCTGATCGTCATCCAAGCCGGCCACGTTGGCACCGAGGTCGAACGCGACCCCGAGCTGCGGCCCTACCTGAGAACGGCGGCGCTCATACTCACGTGGGGCGAGAAGAGGTTCTGGGAACGGTTGAGATACGCCATACCGTCGTCCGCGACAACCGCGATCATCGCCGCCAGCACCACCACCACCACCACCGCCGTCGGCGACATATCCATCGAGAGCAAGTGCTCGCCGTTGGTCTACAAGCGCAACATCAACACCTACACGCTGGACGGCGGCGTCGGCGGCCTCGAGAAAACCGGGATGTCGACGCTGCGCGGCGGCCAACGCGCCGCGCTCTTCAAGGACGCCTCGTCAGCGCTGATGCTGCAACACGCGCCGCCCGCCTACTCGTGCGGCGATGCCCCGCTTCCCCCTATGCTGTCGCAGCAACAGCAACAACAGCAGTCGCAGCCGCCGCCGCCGCTGCCACCGTCATCGTCGCCGGCGCAGCCCAGGTTAACCGTCAATCACGCCTACCGGGACGCGGTGCCGGCCAATAATCTCGTCACGACCACCGTCGCCACCACCAACACCGCCAACTGCGGCGTTGGCGAGGACCACAGGAGACCGTTGTCCGAGCACATCTACTCGTCCATCGACTCGGACTACTCCACCCTCGAGAGGACCGCCTGGAGGCAGCAGCAACCGCCGCCGCCGCCGCCCCCGCCCACCTCCGGACAGGCCTACCTGGTTTAGCTCCCTACGACTGACTTCGGTGTCCCCGCGTACTCATGGGATCGCGGTACCATCGACCCGACTGCGATAACGACGAGCGCCGGTAGTGGCTCGTCTTCAAAAGGTTGTGCTGAGTCTCGTGCTCGTCCACGTGACGCACGGTCGGTGGCCTCGACAGACTGTGAACTCTCCAAGACGTTGCGCGCGTGTCGAGCCACGGACCCCCACGAGATTCGTGTACATAGTTCAGAGACGTCGTCGCGGAGGACGAGGGACGGAGTGTTCGCATATCATAATTGTCTTTCGAGACTTTGGGGATGTCTGCTGCGATAATGATTGGCACCGATTGCCTTTTCTTTTCTCTTTTTGCTCAAATTTCGATCTTTTCTTCTGTCGTTGGAGCGCGACCGACGTTTCTTTTCCTCTTTGTTTTCTCAGAGAAGTCCTCTCTTTTTTTTTGTTATTTCTTTCTTTGTTATTCTGTTATCTACTATCCGTCTTCCTTCGCTCTGTGCGCTTGATGTAACAAGTCTTTCGGCCTATCCCCTTGTCGCCTACCCTCTTATCGAGGTGCATTTTCGGTATAATTACGAATTCCTGAGGTGTCTTGCGAAAATGCGTTTTGTTCGGGTATACAGAATGTCCTGGATCCATTTGCACACTGTTCTTGACAAAAGTATTAACAAAACTGCGATAATTTTTTTAAATTGCATTTCTGCAGTTTTCGGACGCGCGTATTCAAGGACGCAAGAAAAAAAAAGTTAATTTTAAAGAGTAAGATAATTAGAAACATTAATTAGTGTTAAAAAATTTTTAACTAATTTATTTTAATGGTAAAAGGTATTTAATTTTCCACTCGGTGTTTGGATTTCGCCGACGGTCCCTTTATTTCATTTGTGATTGAAGGAGACTTCGTTCGGGCGAGCTTCGCTCGGATTATGGATTATCAACAATTGCTCGTGATCTCCCGGCTCGAAAAATTCATGCGAGAATCAACCGTTATTAAAGGCTCCGTGACTCTCTGTACACCTTCGCGAACCCTCGTTTACCTCATCCGATGACTTTTCAACGAGCGCCCAAAGATCTCAAAGTTCGCGCGATCGCGCGCGAATCTTCAGACTGTCCCTTTCGCGGCGGCGATTTCACCCTCGTGTAAATACTCGCTACTTACGACGAATCCGTGTAAATAACGCTCTCTACCACGCAGTATGCGTTCGTGTACGTATGTACATTGTACATATATATAACTGATACGCGTCGCATTTTCGACGTTCTCGCCGCGTAATAGAATCATGATGCTAGCTTCGACTCTGAAATTTTTGACTAAGTAGATGATTTTTTGTAATTTTATATGTCCGCGGGAGAGAAAGAACAAGAAAGAGAAAACGCGAGTGAGAGTGAGAGGGGGGGGAGGGGGGAGGGAGAGATGATTGTACGATATGTAAATATGTATATTGAGCATACACTCTTTATCGCCGCGCCTCATGTAAGATACAATTCGCCGCGTGAAAGAGAGGGTAAGAATCGAAGAGTGAGAGAAACAAAAGCGTGAGGCATACGCTCGCGCGTCCGATGGCGAGCAAGCCGCGCGAGCGTCTGCGCATGTGACGTGAGAAACTTAACTGTATACTTTCGATTTATTTAAATCATGTGAATAAATTTATAAAATATGTTACTACTCATCTTCGCAATACACGCCTTGATATCTTGATTCCGGCAGCGACCGCCGTCGAGCCCATCTCGGGGAGTCCGTCATTCGCCGCGGGATTCATTCGGGAGTCGAAATTGCGACCCGACGCGTCGTAACGGGTGAAATTATGCGGTGTCAAAATATTTACGCGTGCACACCTCACAAAGGGGGTTTCGTGGACAAGGAGTGCGCGCGAGACGTGCGGCGGGGAAAATTTAATCCGCAACTTTTCGAACGTCGATGCTGCTTGCCGCGGCATCAATTGAGAATTTCTTACTGGCGACATTAAGGGGATGCTGGAGTGACTCTGCACTTTCGACATCTTTTGCTCCTAGAGCCGTCAATTCGTGACAACATTTGTGTAGTATACAAATTATGCGGCTTTTGTGTACGAACCCGACGGTGTTCCGCTATTCGGACCAAATCGGAGAACAGCACGGTGTCGTTGAAATTAAGTTTTGAACCCTAACAAAAATCTATTCGCTCGAATAAGTTGCAGGTAAGCTATAACTTTTTCGAGTGAATAGATTTCTTGTTGAGCTCCGAAACTTAATTTCAATGATACCATGCTGTTCTTTGACTTAATCCGGGTAGCGGGACCACTGTCGGTCCGCGCACAAAGGCCGCATGATTTGTGTATTAGACGAATGTTTGGAGGAGCAAAAGGTGCCAAAAGTGCAGAATCACTCCGGCATCCCCTTAAACGCGGAACGAAGAGACGGCAGTGACGCTTGAAAAATGAGAAAACGGCCGAGAGAAAATGAGAAAACGGGCAAATTGCGCGTGCGCCGATACGTAACGTGAGATCGGGGCAACGTTAACGCTTCCTTTCCCCCCCTCCCCCTTATGTGCGCGCTGTATTTACAATTCGACAGGTGAAATTAAATCCCTCCGTCCCGAATTATGGAACTCCCGAAATGGGGTCTTCCTCGAGAGGGCTGCGCGCCGAAAATTATACAAGCACAGTTCCATAAGCAGCGAGCTTACGCGAGAGCACGAGGAGCACGTGTTCTCCGGAACGCGGGGAAGGGGAACCTCTTTCTTTCCTTTGGCGGCGCAAGTTGGAGGAGTCGTTTTTTCCCCGCGAACACACCGAGTTGCGGCGAAATTCGGATCGATCGAGAGGAAGAGAGACAGAGAAAGGGAACTTATTTCCATATGGTAATTTCGCGCTACGATTGGTTAAAATATTCGCGCAAATGCATTATCCGAGCGTGCGGGGGAGCGGGTCGAAGGGGGGGAGGGAGCGAGCGGGGTGTGTGTGCAACCGTGTTGTTTCCCACACAGCCCAGGCTTTCTCTCTTTCTCTCTGTTGTTACCTATATATCGCGGCGCGCGGCCGTGTGCCGGCTATATAGACCGCGAACGGAACATTGATCCTAGTCAGCGGCGCCGCGCACTCACTGCACACCATCTGCACACTTACATTATTAATGCGCCTACGACCGCCACCGCGCCGCGGCCCGCACCCGCGCGGAGACGACGTATGTTTCCGTTGTTTGCGAAATCTTTCTGCGACCGAGTGTAAACACCCGGGAATAAAGCGTGCGCGCGCGCGCTCACGCGGCGGTAAGTGCCGCGCGGCGATTCGCGATTCCGCACAGTCCCGTTCGGATCTGACTGAATTTTAAACGGGACGTTCTCCTTTTGTCTCCCCGCGTTCTCTACCCGCGAGTCGCGAAGCCGATTTATCGCGGGGTCGACGTTCTGCCCCCCTTTAATGTCGAGAATTTCCAAGACTCGGAATGATTAGTTTCGAATTGAAGCTCGGCGAACGTAGGCAAGACGCGTCTCGTTCTTCGGCTAATTTCAAGTTGTTCGCTTCAGTTATATCTCGGCTTCGCGTCTCCCGGAGGCCTCTTCGATTATTGGCGGTTGTCGGTCAATTTATCAATAAACACACGGGGCTGACGGGACTTTTCTCAATTCATTATTAAAACGTTTTGCAATTAAACATTCGATTTAAATTTGGTAAAATTAATGTATTAACATAATTATTAGAGCGTTGAACATTTTAATTCGATTAAAGTCCAGAAACAGGCTCGAGCCTAGTTCAAGAGGGAGAGGAGGTTTAATTGAGAAACTCCTCTGTGCCTCTCGAAGAAAAAAATTCACCGAGTAGTGACCGACTTGTTCCGAGGCAAATGTTCCAGATATAACGGCAGTGTTTACAACTGACGAATCAATAGGTCGACGATCCGTCCGAAAATGTAAAATTTATTTAGTTTGCATCGTGGCGCGCACGTTGGTTCGTCGATTACTGCTTGACGGAGGAGCGAAGTTAGCTTCGCGACAGAGAAAATCCGTCGCTGGAAGAAAACGCGCGTATCGACAAGGCCATGCGTCACCTCGTGAATAGCGCGCTTCGTCCGCGCGCGCATAATTATCATCGAGGCTCCCGCGTCGCGCAAATTACAAATCGCTGTCGCTGAGTTGCGCCACGGAGCGCGAGGCTGAAAAGCGCGCGCGCGCGCGCGCGTACACGATACTCAAAAGAATTATGGTTTCCTCTCTTCGCGGGTCTTTCTCTCTCTCCGTATTCTAGCGCAAGTGGCCGCGCTCGGAACCAGTTTGCCCGCCTTGCTATGGAATGTAAGGACGGCTGTAATTATTTGCAGCGCGTAGAGCCGCTGGCCGCCGCGCCACGATCGGATCTAGGCGTGTAGGATCGCCGCTATGATCCCGCGATCTCCTTGCGGTATATCTCGACGGCCGTCGTCCCGATTTCCATCCGCCGTCATCTCCCGCGATAGGCCCCCATTGTATCCGACAACGCCCGCTCGCCTCGCCCTCCTCCTCCTCCGTCCCTCCTCTACCCTTTTCCGTTATCGGATCCGCGTCGTGGAACTAGAAATCCACATAATTCGCGCATAGTTCGCGGGCACCTCGCGCCAAAGCACTTTGCGACTGAGTTAAAATTATTTCCAGTCCGAAATTTATCTCTCAGAGGCTGATAACCTTTAATTACTCGCACGGTATATTCCGTGCATCAAAGTGTAGAAAAGCGCGTCCGTACAATATTCGTCGAGTTATCGGAAACGTTTCTCTGCACGCTCGCGTCATGTATCCCCGAGTTAATAAACGTTCGCGACGTTCGTCGAACTGTCGAGACAGCGAGACTTTCGTTACGTAATAAAATGTGTTTACAGACGATCGTTACAAAAAAAAACGTAGGAAATTTCCCCGGAGGTCTTAACAGACCTTCTCGAGTAATCGATATTCGTCTCGCGAACGATAATAACGCCGCGGTGTGGTTTTGACTTAACGCGGGAAAAGGAGAACCCGCGATAATACGCTCGAGCGTCCTCGAGATTCGCGAGAGCACCTTTCACCGAGCATTCGAGAAAGGGTGGGTGCCACGCGTCGGCGTCAAGTTCGTTATTTGGGTCGTTCTTGCGAAACATTATTCGGAGCTCGCCGCGCGGCGCTCGTCGGCCTTGACGAACGACCGATTTCAGTGGCGTAATCGGCGACAAGTCCGGTCGGTTCGAGGAGATGCCACCTGCTCCTCGGCGAAGACGCCGAGTCTGCTTGAGGCCGGACATTACAATGGACGCAGCGAGTCGCGAGCCTCCAGAAATCCAGACCAATGACAGTCGATCGTTCTTCTCGCATTTGACTGCGATTGGTCGATTTCCCGCGGCTCGCGACTCGCTGCATCTATCGTAGATTCAGCCTAAAATTTATTCTACATCAATGGACGCAAGACGCTAAGCCGCAACGCGAGAAATCGACCAATGACAGTCAAATATGAGAAGAACGATCGACTGTCATCGGCCGATTTTCCGCGTTGCGGCTTAGCGTCTTGCGTTTTGCGTCCATTGTAGAATCAGCTTAACCGAGCTAATCATCTTTCAGGCTTCTTCGTCTCCCCGCTTGAAATCTACACTCGTACCTCGAGCCCGCGCGCGATTTCGAATTTTCATACACCTTAAGCCTTGTGTCCACGATGCCAGAAATTGGTCCGAGATCTCGAACCAAGAAATGGTGTAGCCAATCAATCGCAGCTTTTCTGTAAAAGATGAAAGTTGATTGGCTACATATTTCCCGGATCGAGATCTCGGACCGATTTCTGGCATCGTGGACCCAAGGCTTTGCACACGGGCGCGATAATTGAACGGGAAATCGTAATCGATACACTTTTATAATATTTATGATTTACGCTTTAACGGGCTCGCGCGAGCAGAACCGAGAAGAGCCTCTTAACGCCAACGTAACGAAATATCACGCGATAATGTCCCGCTTACGAACTTCATAGTTAACAGTGGTTTACGTTCGCGACAGTTATACGTATTACACAGGATGTCGTGGGTGGGAAGACAGTTAACGCCGCGAGTACACGAACGCGGTGGTAGGCAAAGCGCGCGCCGTGCAACAACCTGGTCGCTCACCTCTCCTATTACCCGTCCCGTCGAAGGAGGTAACGAGAAGCACCCCGTTTACCCTATTCAAGCGGCTAATCGAAACGGCTAGTGTCTCCGACCAGTGCAAACCCACTCGGTTTGTGTACACCGCGCGTTAGGGCCCGCGCGATCCCGATAATCGGCACGAGATAGCCGAATTCATTTTCGATTCCCCCGCCGGCTACACCTCTGCCGCCGCGGCGCGATCGCGCTCCACACGCCGGGCACGCCGATTCACCAAAGATCTGGTTCCGATTCTCTCGAGGCGCGCCGAGCCGCGCCGGTTAAATCGGTTTTTACGAGCGCGCGCCTTCCTCCCCCTCCCCCTTCCCCCCGCGCTCAAAGCCGACCAGAGCAAAAGGACGAAAAAAGAGAGGGCACGAAAAGGGGCAGGGTAAAAAAACTTTGCGTACCTACCTATCTACCTACCTACCTACCTACCTACCTACCTATCTACCCGACGAGGGCGCACGCGCGCGCGCGCGCGTTAAAATCCCCGTCCGCGCTCCTAACACGCTCGAATAAGCAACGAGGGCCGGCGACGCCGCGCGCCGGGCCTCCGCTCGCTCGCGGACCCCGCTCGCG